ATTGATTTCAAACCAATTTAAGCACAGGTTGCCTGCCGTGAGACGGGGCAGGCGTATGTCCCCAGCAGGCTGATGCCGCAGCACGGTTAGCCGGGCTGCCTCTGCGGCGTAGGATGCTGGGCTGTGGGGATGCTCTTCACCTCTCCTTTGGGATGGAGCCTGCCCCGGGGCTGTGGTGTGCGGGTCTCCGGGCGTTCACAGGGCTGGCCTTGGCCCGGCTCCAGACAGAACAGCGTTCCCAGCCTGGTGCTGGCACTGGTGCCCTGGCCGCGGTCAGCAGGCAAGGGTGTCCTTGGAGTCTGGTTTTTGTAGCTGGTCCGTCTGTCCTGTGTGCAGTCAGAGCTGGCATTCATCATAAATAAGTTCGCGTTTGCTGGGAAAACAGAGTTGTTTTTCCTTTTCCTCTCCCCTCACTTCCTCTCCTGAGTTTCTGAGTGTTTGGGGCCAAGGACAGCAGAACTCCGGGACGCTGTGACGACTCTGGGGACCAGCCCTGCAGAAAATGCCTGGGAGCCAGACTTTGCCCTCCTCTCCAAGGCAACACCTCGCTTCTGTCCATCACAGAAGAAAGCTTGCAGGTGACTCCCAGTACTCTTGTTTCTTCTTCTTGTACTCCCAATGGCTTTTTTAATCAAAAAAGTGCTGTTTTTACAGCACTCTACAACATTTAGTCAAACGGTCTTTACTCAAGGAATCGACGAACTGCTGCTGGATAAGTCTCCTAAAGGTGGTTCATCGTCTCGCCAGTTTTATCAGGACATGTTACATTGCCCTGATGATGATTTCATCTATTTCCTTTTAGAAGCAGGAGGGCTCACTGCCAGGCTTTCAAATCCCCGGCGTTTTGCAGGGCACCTTTGAACAGGCAGAGGCGTGCCCGGGTGGCCAGTGTCATGCTCAGCCAGGGCAAACAGGTCTGGCACCGGGGCAAATACCTCGCGGAGGAGTTGGAGTCAGGGGTGGGAACTTCAGTTGAACCATGATGCTGTTTCGGTTCAGTGTGCGTGCACGTGTCCCAGTTTTGAGGTCTGAGGTTTACCCGAAGCATCTAAGGGTGTGTTTTAATTGATTAAAAACTTAAAATACACTGATACTGGTGAAACCAACCCCGTTCTGAATGTGGTGGGGGTGTTGCTGGTGAGTCCCCTGGGGCGCTTGTAGCTGAGCCGGGCTATGGCAAGCACACGGATGTCTTTAAGTGTATCATTGGGTTTTTTAATCTGGAAAAAGTGTTTACTTTCTGCCTGTCCTCAGAAAGGCAAACTTGGCTGAGTGGGAGATGTGGCAGGGGGGTTTAAAGGGTCAGTGCACAAACCTGCTGCTCCTGAGGCCATAGAAAAGAGCTTTCTGCCACCTGCAGCTGCACCTTTGCCCAGGGCACAGGGGCTTGGTTTTGCTTTGCTTGCTCAGGCATTTGTTAATATCTTACCTAAGTCCCCTTGTTTTGCCTATCTTCTCCTTGCATCTTTTCTTGAGGTTTAGTTACTTAATATGTGATGAAATGTAAAGCAAAGTCCTCCACGCTTATGCTCCGGAGAAGAACTTTGTTGACAGTTTCAACTGCCTCTTAACTCATTGACTGTGTAAGTTTAATTTTAATAGGGCTCTTGCATTTGAAATCTCATCTAGGCTAGTATTACAAGAGAAAAAATTTTCGCCTTTGCTAAATACAAAGAAAATTTGCAAATCGTGTTACAGGTAACCTTTTTGTTTTATTCATTAAAAAAAAAATAAAAAATTGCACATCCCTGGTGTGGCTGAAGGAAGATCATTAATGTGCTGTTCTGGTGGGTACTTCTAGGTCTAAAGGGTTGTTCCCTCATTTAGCCTGTCCGCACTGGTATTTCTCATCAGTAAGATGTTTTGTAACAACTTGATAGATCTAACTAAGGGGACTGATGCCCTGAGCTGTTCAGCTCCTGCTTATGCTTCATGTTGAGAGGGTCAGCAACGGTAACTACAACAGAGTGGTTTTAAATCAAATTACTTGTGGGTTGGAGTGTTCTGGTTTTGAGGTTTTTTTTTGTTTTTTTTTTTGTTTTTTTTCTTTGCAATAGTTGTGTTTACTTTGCACTTATAATATTTCAATGTATACTTAAATTTAAGCTTTTCCAGTGGGAAAGTTGGAGGGGTTTTTTGTATTGCAAAAAAAAAAAAAAAAAAAAAACCAAACCCCCAAACCAAAACCTCAGCAGCATTTAATTTGGAGTCTGCAAGCAGAGTTATTTCCAGTTTGCCATGAAATCTCTTTCAGACAGGCAAAAACTATCCCTCTGAATCATGCAGATGTGGATGGCTGCTGTCATCTCCTGGGTCCCTGCTGCTTCCCACCCGGCAGAGCCGTGCTGGTCCCACACGAGGCGTCCTCGCTGCTGCGAGTGCTGGGGACGTGGGGTGCGGGCTGGAGATGGGGCTTTTTTTCCCCCCAGAGCAAAACATAATCAGTGCTGCAACACAACATCGTCCCATACGCTGAAACCTGGCTTCTCCTAAACTTGGTGTGCGCTGCAAACCGCTTGCAAAAGCTCTTGAATTGCCCGAGCACGCCTTCCTCTGGAGGCTGGGCAGCTGCCGGGCTCGGCTCGGGGACGGTGTGATGTCCTCGCGTGCCCGTGAGCAAGCTGGCAGACCAAGCCTCCACTTCCAAATCTTCCTCCTCCTCCTGCCCGAGTGTTAAGAGCCTGGCTGGTGTTTCTAGGAAGTGCAGTATAAATCCAGTAAAGCAAGTGCCCAGCTTTAGGTATAGAAGTAGTCTTGCTGGATTTTATGCTTTTTAAAGTGGGTGGGGGCTTTAGGAGACTTTTGTTTTTATCTCTAAGGCTAGTGAAAGCCGACCTCTCCTCTGCTAGGGATGACATTTGCCACAGCAGCCTCTTCTCTGAATCGAGTTCACTTGAACAACCCCATCTTCTCCTGATGCTGACTTTAGACTCCGGTTTTGTAAAAGTTTGTCATATTTAACTTCAGGGTGGTGCCCTAGAGAGATGCTGGTGTCCGTAGGTCAGCGTGGGTCTGCGACAGCTGAGCCAGGCTTCCAGGAGGGGCTCGTGTCTTGTCGTGTCTCCATCCATCATCCAGCCGAGTGTGCTCGGCTGGCCCAGGGGCTGATGAGAGCTCTCCCAGGGAGCAAAGCCAGGGTGTCGACTCGGTCGCTGCCCTCTGATCCTCAGTGTCCGTGTAGAACAGGAACCGCTGTTGAGCAGTTCTCCATCCATCCCTTCAGGGTTTTCAGAGCACCTACGCGAGTTCTGGCTATCCCTTTTTGGCCTTGCATGTGTTGAGGCAGCCTGGGAATCCGTGGGTGAAACAAAAAATGAGGCGTTGGTTGTGCCTTGAGCCACTTTGTGCCAGTGAAAGTTGCAGAAGTTCTTTGAGGTGTGGAGTATTTACCCGAAAGAGGAGGATCAGGCTGGTGAGAGCACTGTTTGTGAAGTCTAGGTAACGTGATGGCAGTGGGATATTTGTCTCTCTTGTCTGGTGCTCTCCTGCTGTACAAATATGGCACGTGCCCTAAAAGCGGCCCTTCTACCGGAGGGCAACGTCTGCAGCAATGAGCAGGAATCTTCCACCCTGCCGTGTACATACCCTGCTTTGAATGGGCAGCTTTCATTCAGAAAGGTCGCAAGGACAGTATGTCTGTGTGTTTTATTTCCAGCTGCTTTGAGAAATCTTATTTTCTTGAAAATCCTTGGAAAAAGCAACTAAAGGCTGCTCTGTGCTCTCTGGCAGAGGAAGAGGGGTGTTTGCTTCGGTGTTGGTGCCTGCATTCAAAATGCTGCTGCTTTGCCCTGCTGCTGTGCTAGAGGGAGTGTGCTCAGTAACAGAACAAGTTCGATCCCATTGGGTGAACTTGATGGAGCAAATGGCTTTTCATGAGCATCTTTTTCTCTCGAGGCCAGGCAGGAGGGCTCCCGTCCCTCTGCCCGACACCTCCAGGGTGACAGGGGATCAGCTGGAGCTCAGCGCCAGCACTGACAGATCCCACCACGATTGAGATCCCGGAGCCAGAAATGATTTGATTTGTTCTGAGGTGCGTTGGGGAAAGCCCATAAACGCTGGGAAATGAGCTGGCGCTTTGATGGGCAACAAGAGCTTTTGCTTTAGGAGGGTGTTTCTTCTAGCACTCCCACAGCTCTCCTCCAAACATGGGGATGGTTCAAGGCTCAGCACCGCGTGTGTCCAGGGAGGATCATCCCTGCCCACCCACAGGAGCAAGCAGGCAGAACCGAAGAGGAACACCCGCCTAAGGGGCGGAACTGGCAGGAGAATCCAGTCCTTTATGCTTGTAGCATGGTGTCTTAAAACCTGAATTGCGCTTCTTTCGCAGAGCCTGCTGCAGGTAACAGACGTGGGGAAGCAGTACAAATTATTTGAGATGCTGTTCCAGCTGAAGCATGGACATCTGAGTGTCCTGCTGATGCAGTTCCTGCAAATTAGACACCGGAATGAAGATTTATAAACCAGCTTATTTTCCGTTGACGGATGGAAGATGCCCTTGTATTACTAGATGGGGGGAAAAGTGCTCTAAGGGCTAATTGGTAGCTTGGAATGGTGGTTTTTACAGCAAATTCAGATTAATAACGTATCTTCTTAAAATGGAGTGGGTGATAGCAAGGGTGGTCAGAATCACTGAGTAAGCAGCGGGTAATCCCTCCTGGATTCAACAAATCCGTACTTGCTCACAACAAAATCTCCCTCCAACTCTTATTTAATACATATATTTCTGTAATCTGTTTTTCAAACACTGCTATTGCAAAGCATTCATGGCCCAAAGGCTGTGGCGCACCCCGGGGCAGCGCTTGGTCCTTGGACCTGGAGACAGAGCAGCACCTGGGCACGGGGCACGGCTCGCGCTGGTTTCAGGAGGTTGCATTTCTGTGCTTAGAAATGCAACACAGCAGTAATTAGCTGTTCTGTCCTGCTCTGTAATGAAACCGGGTAGCTATACTACTTTGTTTTTGTTTTTTTTTTTTTTTTTTTCCTCCTGGGTTTTTTAACAGGCAAATGAGGTGACTGACAGTGCTTACATGGGCTCCGAGAGCACGTACAGCGAGTGCGAAACCTTCACGGATGAAGACACCAGCACACTGGTACACCACGAGATGCACGACGAGGTAGAAACGGACAGTGCCATTGACTCCACCGTGCACTCGGAGTTCACGGATCCCATCGAGGAGCCGGAGCATGGGTGAGTGGGAACGGGCAGGAGCAAAACTCACCGTGCGGGGCAGGAAGCTCAGGCAAACTGGGAGCAGATGAGGACCGAGGGAGACTCAGCCTGAGGATTTAAAATGAAGTGGGCTGAGTCTGTCTTGCTGAAACTGGTTGGTTTGTTCTTTGTGTTTGTAACTTCATGCAAGACCAAAATAGCTCTTCTTAAGAATAATGATAATAATTAGAATGCACCATGTGTAGGCTGTTTTGGAGCTCGGCCTGGCAATCTCTTTGAGTTAATCGTTGCTTGCCTTGGGAGAACTTCTGTACCCTCATTAGCATCTTTAACCTCTAAAATAAGTTCTCAGGTGATCCAAACACCTGAAATACTTGCAGTTTTTAATCTATCACTTAAGCCAGAAACGCAACGTATAATTTTCAAGTCAGGAGGGGAGCTCACCGTATTCTTGTTTTACCTAAACACGCGTGTGCCCTTTGATGTGCAACCACCTCCTGTAATAACTAGCTTTAAAGTTGTGCCTGAAGCACAGAAGTGTGAGCTAAGATCATCTTCCCCGGGTCTGAACTGCTGCTGGCGAAACTGCTCCTGGGCCCACCTCATTTCCTAGATTTTGCAGAAAAAAAGTGGTTTTGGGGGTGGAACTGGGATGCTGGCAGATGGGAGGGGAGATAACTCCTTTAATAGTGACTCAAGAGCACTGGTCTGTGCTGAAACCTTTAGAACCATCATCACTTAAGGTCTGCTAATGCACAGAATATTTTTGGCCCAAAACACATCACCCGGGCTTGGTGCTCTGGTGGCTACTTATAGTTCCTATTGCTTTTAGAAAGCACCAGGCTTCCCTCCCACCCCCAAAATCACATCTAGGGATGTTGGATGTGGTGAGCGGTGAGTACTGCTAGGCACTCAGCACCGGGGCTTGAAAGGGTGTTGTGGATTAGAGAAGAAATGAGATTATCTGCCTTGGCTCTCCTCACCCAAGCACGTTCAGCTCACTGACAGTTAAATTGGGATATAAGCAGTTGCTGAGCTCCCCGACCACCGAGCGGAGTGTCTCTGGAGGGGCCATGGCAGCCTGCGTGTGCTCTCGTCCTCTGGGGAGAATAATGTGCCTTGGTTTCACCTGCCTGGAGGTACAAAATACTTTGGGAGTTTTTTTAAGATTAGGTTGTTCTTGAGGCTTCCCTGCTGCTCCCAGTGTGGGCTTGGGAAGGTCGGGTGTCCTTTGGGTGCCCTGGCCAAGCACAGCAGTGCCTGTTGCTAGGTGTGTTAAATTGCACAAATTCCAGGTAGCTGAAAAAGTTCGTTTGGCTTAAAGATTTGGAAAGCTTGAGATGAAAACCTCTGGAACTTTATTCCCAAGTTGTTAAGGGCTGGTTTTGGTGCCATCATACCCCAAGCAGGACAATAGTTTTACACCTGTAGTGCCCAGAACTCTTCCAGGGGACAGTCAGTAAGTACAATCCAACCAGCGCAGCTGGGGGACTGAATCAAAGCTTCAACAGTGCTTTTCAGTAGCTGTTGAAGCTCGGCATACCTTAGATGGTTTGAGCTTAAGTGGTTATTTAGGCCATCTGTAGTAAAGATTAGTTGGACTCTGGATACTGAAGCTGCTAGAGCTCCAATAGGTGTATATGCAATACTTGTACTATTTATTGCCTGAAGCATCCCTGGCTGAGGGTTTCCAGGTGCCTGATCAGATCTGCTTCTGTACAGTGCTTGTCAAACCACAGCCCCAAATTTAGAGATTTAAGGTTGGGTTTTGCGTGTGAGTTTAAAAATTCCACCCCTGCCTTCTATTCCTGGAGAGATTTCCGATGCTTTTGGCAATGGTCTGCTGGGTGCAGCATCTGACTCACTGCCAGGGAGGATGGGTTTCTGACGGATCCCGCTGCGGGAAAACGGTGCTTCTCAAGTGCACAAGGAGGATGTGCAGATGCCCACAAGCTGGACTGGACTCGTCTGTGGTTAAACAGAGATCTGCTGCTGTTTTGGCTGGAGGGTTGATAAGTTTTTATTAGCGGGATAAGGGCAAATCCTTCAGATGCTGCAGGGTTTTGTCATAAATGGATTATCTGTAATCTTTTTTTGTTTCTGATTTAATACCGCATACCCCCATTTTCTCTCTCCTAGCAAGTGGATGAAGATGGGGGCACAGCCTTGAAATACCAGTTTTTATAACAATAGAGTCTGCTTTTTTTAGCATTGAATTTCGGAGAGGAGAGCAGTGGTAGCCCTCTCAAAACACATACCTGTGGCTCATAGACATATGGGCTGCATTCACAGCCTGGTTCTTACAAATGCCCCCTGCCTTTTCCCCCAGCTTAATTTTAAAGCCTCTGCAGTCCTGGGCAGGAAAGTCCTCAGAGTGGGTGTGTGCTGCCGTGGTTACTTGACTTCATACAGCGCTGCACATGTGAAAAGATGCTTACAGAAACTTTTACTTCTATGCTGAGCTGTGTCCCCTCCGAAGCAAGGGATGTCCCAGGACCTGTGCTGGGTGTAACACACTGCAGCCTTCTGGATCTGGTGTTAAAAACACACGAAACCGCGTTCTCCCTTCCAAGATTGTCATGAGCACGTACAGTGTTATCCCAGCAGGAGCAGGCAAAGGGCTCCTTTGTCTTGCCAGGGGGGCTGTCGCTGCTGGGTTTGGCAGCTGCCTGTAAACCACTGGGATTTGTGTCGTGGAGGGGGGGGGTTTGCAGTGTTCAATGCTGGTGCTCTTGATAGGATTATACAGCAATAACGGAGCGTGAGCCCAGCACATAGGCTGACGACGTGACTCAAAACATCTTTAGGGTGTGGTTTTTGGAGCTTTTTCTCTGCCATGCTTTCAGTCGCGCACATGCTGTGCGAGGGCTTGCCACCAACCCTGGGCACTGTCTTGCAAGTCTGTCCCCAAATCCTATGTTGCAGCTGCCAGGGGAGCTTGCATGAAAAAGCACTGGTTTGTTATGAAAAAATTGCTGCCAGCTTTCCTGGTGGTGCCTGGGTTGCCTTTTCTGTGTTCGAGGCACAAGGTGAATTGTGCTGTAAGGAAGAGCTAGCCTGGTCTGCCGAAATGGGAGACGTGGCTTAGAAGAAAGCAGATGCATTGGCCACCCTCTAACATCCTCCTCTCCGTTCCCACAGATCCCATCCGCACGACCTGCCCCTGGGCTCAGACCTCAGCCACTCCATTGTTACGGTCATTAGTGGAGAAGAGCACTTTGAGGATTATGGAGAAGGGAATGAAGCAGATTTGTTCTCGGACAGCTTGTGTAACGGGGAAAGCAGCTTCAGCAGCTCCTCGTTCCTCTCTCCCAGGTAACGCTCAGTGCAGCGCTGGCAGTGCTTTAACCAGTTTCTGTTGCTTAGTGTCTTCGCCTGTGCTTTGCACGTGAGAGTTGTTCCCTCTGAGTTTGCACACTAGTCGGTCTGCGAGAGGGGGTTCCTGGCAAACTTTGGGTACAATGGGATAATCAGCCTGGAAGCGGACAAGGAGTTGCCTCCCTCTGTCTTTCCTTTCCCTGAACAGTGCCCACCCAGAGGCAGTAGTGCCTGGCAGCAGGTGGAAGAGCAGTCTGCATTTCACATGCGTCCAGAACGGCGTCACCTTCCCACTCCTATTAGAGATTTGGCTCCTTGCAGAACCTTCGGTCGAAAAAAACACAGCGTACCTTTACCCCTGGTCCTGTTGGATGACATTTTGTTTTCAGTTTCTCTCTTGTGCTTGTATTTTTGGCTCTGATATGATGCTTGGTTGGGTTTGCACAAGCTGCAGCAGCCTTCCTTCTCTAGGCAGCCTAAGGGGATACATGGAGCAAGAAGCAGGTTGTAGCATTTTCCTGCACACCTTGCAGCCAGTGCAGGGTGGACTGAGGAGCTGGTTTGGCAGTACAAAACCTGTCAATAATTACTTTCTAAGGAAAAGAAGTAAAAGCTGGAATGATCATCCACTGCTGCAGCTCGCAAAGTCTTTGTGGTGACAGATAACACCGGAGACCTGTTATTCCATCAGGCAATGCATCTCTGTGCAAGGCAGGGGCGGTCCCTTGCCAGCCACGCACTTGTGTTGAGGACAAGAATATACTTTTTTCCTTTGGAATGATACCCGCTTGTGACTTTCTGCAGCAGTGTAAACTTGTCATAACTTTTTTTTTTTTTTTTGCTGTCTGCTGGTTTCCTACCAGCTTCCCAAAGCCCTTTGTAGAGTTTGGGCAGTTCTAGTTGCACGGGGCTGACAGGGAAGAACTGCTGTCAAATCTCCACACCTGCGCGTTGCTGCAGGTCAGGGCCGACTTTCTCTTTTGGTGGTGCAGCAGCAGTTTTGAAGACGTTAACTAAACCTTCCGAAGGAGAGTGTAGCTGTAAAGCATGCCTAACACGTTACTTCAGGAAACCGGTGTGCTGGCGCTTGTGATGGGAAGCCCTGCAGTGGAAGGGACACGTCACTCACCCACGCTTGTCCTCTGAATGCACTGTGCAGAAGTGCCGAGCGTGGCTGGCCGTACTGCTGCTGCAGCACAGAAAGTGCTCTTGGATAAAAACCAGCCTTGGTGTTCGTTTTGAGTTTCTCCTTGAGGGTACGCCTCCAACCTAGTCCAGAAGGCTCCTGGCAAGAAAATACTCGGAGCTTTGCAATCAGTTAAACTTTTTTTCTTTAATATCGGTCCGGAGCTCCCAGGTTTTCTACACTCCCAGGGTTCAAGTCTTGCTCTGCCAGGGCACCATCTCCCCTCTGCTGTTCTGTCTCTTTGGATCCTATCCATGAGATCGTGTTCTGCAGCATCTTTCCTCTGCCAGGAGGGCCTCACTCGGCACGTGGCCACGCAGCTCTTGGTGGTTTACGCTGGAGACTCGCTGCTGGGGCTTGCTGGGGAGACAGGCTGCAGATAAACCCTGCTAAACCTCCAGAGTAAAGAATGCGGTTCTGTTTGAAACCAAGGATTTCCTCATGCCTTTCGGGTCTAGCCCTTACCTTGGATTATCACTGTATGCATGAAGGGTCCTTAGCTGATCAGTCTCTGAGATTGTGCTGTTTTTCTGAACAAAGCCCTGCCACCCCAGTGCATTTAAACTTAATGAAGCCTTAAAGAACTGTAGGATATCCCTGGCTCGGGCTGAACTTTTTCTTTGGTGGTGATTTGAATATGAGGAACAGTATCACTTGTAAACAGTCGCATCACCACGCACCCTTTCCGTGTTTCGAGAGTCTTTAAATGAGAATAATGTTGGCAGGTTTTCCTGCCACAGCTCCAGATCTTCACCAGAGGACTAATGCAAGAACCAAGAGCCTTCAGGGAACGCTCTGGGGTGTAGCATTTTCCCGCCTCATCCTTGCGTGTGCCTTTGAGATCCCCCCTCTTGGGTTGCCACCTCTTTTCCTTGGCACGTCCGGGCTGGTAGGAGAAGTCTCTCTGCGACGCTTGGTGGGAAACGGATGGCAACTGGAAGGAAAAAGCTCCTCACGCTCACCCGTTCCACCTGCTGCGTCGGTAAGCGCTGCGGCCCCGTGGCAGCCGAGCTGGTATGGCAGTACAAAACCTGTCGATAATTGCTTTCTAAGGAAAAAAAGTAAAAGCTGGAATGATCATCCACTGCTGCAGCTTGCAAAGTCTTTGTGGTGACAGATAACACCGGAGACCTGTTGTTCCATCAGGCAATGCATCTCTGTGCAAGGCAGGGGCGGTCCCTTGCCAGCCACGCACTTGTGTTGAGGACAAGAATATACTTTTTTCCTTTGGAATGATACCCGCTTGTGACTTTCTGCAGCAGTGTAAACTTGTCGTAACTTTTTTTTTTTTTTTTTTTTGCTGTCTGCTGGTTTCCTACCAGCTTCCCAAAGCCCTTTGTAGAGTTTGGGCAGTTCCAGTTGCACGGGGCCGACAGGGTAGAACTGCTGTCAAATCTCCACACCTGCGCGTTGCTGCAGGTCAGGGCCGACTTTCTCTTTTGGTGGTGCAGCAGCAGTTTTGAAGACGTTAACTAAACCTTCCGAAGGAGAGTGTAGCTGTAAAGCATGCCCAACGCGCAGAGCGTGGCGGCTTGCCCCGAGGGGCAGGGGGGTTGAGCTCTCGCCCCCTCGACGGGCGAGCACCCAACGCGGCCAGAGGCCAGGTATACCCGCGCGCGCCCCCCAGGAGTTGCCAGGCTGGCCCGTGGGTTCTCCCCCGCGCTTCTTTTCCCCGTTTTTGATTAACGCCTGTTAGATTTGGGGTCATGCCTTGCCCCAGGGGCGCGCCCAGCCGGGTGAGGCGTTTCTGCCTCCCGGCAGGGGCGAGGAGGGCTCGCTGAACGGGGCTCGTGCAGCCAGGAGCGGGGGGCAGAGCCCAGAAGAGGGGCCATCGCCTGCCACAGAGCTCACCTCTTACCCTGCACAAAGCCTGAGCAACTGAACTGACTGCTGGTGGGTAACGATTATCCTGGGTCCAGACCTGACCTAGGGGGTAGGGGGAATGTTTCTCAATTTTTTTTTTTTTTTTTTTTTTTTTTTTCTCTAGGAATGGGAAGAGATGAGCAATTTGGCATTTACTGTTGTCTAGTTGCTTGTTCTAAGGGCGCTCGGAAATACTGTACAGACGGCACAAACTCAGAGGCCTGACCCTGGGGGTGGCTGAGCTGCTGACACCCCACTGCCACCAAAAGTGCTGAGCCAGGGGACCCCTCCTGGGATGTCCTGCGCACTCAGCATCCCCCGGGCCAGGACTTGCCAGTGTGTATCACGGGATTGACCTTTCAGATGCCTTTTGGTTTTAAGCTTGCTTGTGTTTGCTCACACCTTTACCTGTCTTCCTTATTGAACTGCTTTGTTTTTTTCACTATTAACCTTTCTTTGATTAAAGTCCATGGCTTCTAGAAGCATGTCTCCCTGCAGAAAAGATTTGTGGCATAGATTTGGCCCCAAGGTAACACAAGCTCTTTGCTGTTCAGAATCCCTTGGCCAAACGCTGTCCTGCCCAAGCCATGTCAGGTGGGAGAAGTGCCTCCCTGGTTTGCCAAGTGTCAGTGAGCGCCTCGGCAGCTTGCTTTCCACATCAGCAGCTGAAAATTAAAAGCTGATCAGACTCACTAGCGTCCCAAAGTCCTGCAGACCCCCATGTCCCCTGGCCAAGTGACATCCCCTACAGTAAGGCAACGCTGCTGCTTAGCTTCACTTTGTAGGAGAGTGTAGTTGAACTGCAACCACCTTTTTGAGCTTAGCTTAAAAGTTTTTTGCAGTGAAAATCTCTCTGCATTACTAACGGAGAGTCTGCAGCAGCACAGATTTTTTTTTTTTAAATCTTTATTTTTAAAGCATCCCGTTGGAAAACAGTGTGACCGACCAAAGGATTTGGCTTGCGCTCGTGGCACCCAGTCCAGCAGTGTGTGAGTTCAGTCTGCATTGACCGAGGCAAACCAGGACCACTGCTAGAGCCTCCTGAGATGGGTTGCTTGGAAAATCATATCGCAAAATAAACTTTGTAGTTGTGTGAGTTTGTGGAAAGCAGGCACTTCTCCTTCCCTGGGCTCTCCAGGGGGGCTTCCACAAGAGCTGCCAGGCGCAGGGGTTTGGAAACGTGCACCAAGCTCAGCTGCTCTGGATCTGTGGGAGGAGAGTGATGGAAGTCCTGCTAATTTACAGCAACTCCAGATTGACTGTGATTTGGCTTCTAAAACCAAGGGGGGGGAGGTGACCCAATCTGCCTTAAAGTTTTTAATTGTGAATCTTATATCTCACACCAAAATCTCCTCGTCCCAAATGTACGGTCAGCTTCTAGAAGCCCTGGATGAAAATCAGCCCTGTCTGTTCTGTCCTGTTAAAAATGATCCTTGTGATTTCTCTAGCACCAATCCGCTCGCTGCGAAACTGCACAGCATTATCGCAGATGAAGCGTTTGAATTTTACTGTAGCCAGTGCCACAAACAAATCAACCGCCTTGAGGATCTTTCTGCTCGCCTGAATGATCTTGAAATGAATAGGTAATTGGGCTTGTGTGTGACCATTTCGGTGTTGGGAATGATGTTCTGGGAGGGAAGACTCTTCTTGTCTTGCACAGCTTTCCTTTGCTTGATTCCTGGTTGTGAAAGGGGATGAATTTCACCAAACAAGGTGAGCCTGTCCAGGTGGTAAAGGTTGTAATAACATTATGGAGGGTGAGCAGAACTTTCCTTTAATCTGAGCCACGGAGGCTGGCAGACAATGAGAGTCTTCCCTTCTGCTCTGGGCAGCCTCTTTGCATGTCCTGCTGAGTGGTGGGTGCTTTTTCACGCTCCAAGTAATGCAGTCCTTGTGTCAGGACTTGAAGCTGTAAGCTGATCGTGTACAGTATTTCTGTCACCAAGGAAAAGACCGCCAGCTCTCTGGCCGATAATGCCCCGCGTGGAGGCACGCCTGAGTTGCAGGTACAGCCTGGAAGGGCAGGTACAGCCTGGAAGGGCAGGTACAGCCTGCAAGGGCAGGTACAGCCTGTCTTCCTGCTGCAGCAGTAACCTGGAACCATCAGCTTGCTCTCTGGCTTGGGACCTCTCTTGCTTTGCAGCAGTAAAATCCTGTTTCACGCCGCTTTGCCAGCCTCCTGCCCGCCTCAGTGCCACCACTGGCCGGGTAGATGCCATAAACGTCGGGGCCTTTGCGTGGGACCTTCATGAGCTGTTGAATGTAATGTTTGAGGTCTGCCAGCCAGCAGCTGGACTTGCTGATTTAACAAGTGGGAAGGGATTTCTATTTGTTTGTTTATTTTTTTCAGACTTGTTTACAGTCCGCTGGGTGGAGGGATGGTGGTATTAATGATGATAATTTTTCTCGCATCTGGCGTGCTTTTCCAAGCCTGGTTTTTGGTTATGCTCTTGGTCTCTATCTGTCCTCTACAGGGACAGTGTGACATCAGAGTTCTCCTGAGCTATATAGCTATGGGAAGAGAACTGGAAAACAAGTAGCAGTTTGACCTTAATTTTTTTTTAATGAAAAAAGTACTTCTCTCCCTTTCTTTTTCTCGGGTAAATCGTTGACTGTTTTGTTGGAGGCCTTGAGGGTCAGTGATGGGTCTCAAGTTACACAGTTATTAAGGAGAATGCTGGACTTCCCTGGATACACCAGAACCCCCTGCTCCCATTTCAGGCTTTCTCCACCAAATTTACCTGCAAAACTGAGCCGACACCTCAGAGCCTCCTGTGATGGATGGGATTTCCAGAGGAGGCTTCCCTGTCCCGCGGTGGGAATTCCGTAGGTTTTGATTTAACATGTGCCCTTTGGGCTCAGGATGAGCAGGTGGGGTTCCTCCGCCTGTCTTCAGGGTTTCCCGTGCGCAGATTTGCTGGAATTTGTTCCACCCCCCTGCGCCCTGGCCTGGTGGAAGGGGCATTGCCCACCCTCTCTGCGGTGAGGATGAGAGGTGTCCCCACGCAGCACGAGGGACGTGGCTGGACCTGCTGTTTGCTCCCAGCATCACCAGCAACGGGACGTGAAGCCCTCGGTGCAGCGGACAAATCCCAGCCTGCAGGCGAAGAGAACAGCAGAAACGGGACCAAAATCTGGGCCGAGCAGCGTCACGCCGTGTCTGGGAAATAAAGCTTGAAGGCGCCTGCTCCAGGGGATGCTAGCAGCTGGAGTGAAGCCCAAGCCACCACGTAACAGCCTCACTTTTAAAGGCTGGGGGCATATATAGTGTTTTGCACTTGGAATAAGGTGGGGAGCCCGGTCCCAGCACTGGGGCACTGCTGCCCCAGCCCACGGCACGGGGAGGCAGGGAGGAAATCCGCAAGGAGCTTGGGATGAACCAGTTTTGTGAAAGTGTGTTTTGTTTTACTGCCCTTGAAGCAGAGGTTTTGTCTCATCCCCTCCCGAGAGACCCGCAGGTGCCGGCACTACTTTTTCATAAGCTGTTTGCAGAGAAAAATATTTTTTCTCCCTCTGGTGCTGAGGACATACGTGACTCGCTGCGTTTGCTGGCAAACACGAGGGCCTGACCTCCTCCCCTCGGGCGGGTGCTGAGCACCCTTGAAGCCCGGCCAGCAGTGGCTCTTGCACTCCTTGGAAATCTGGGGTTTGAGGATGCACTTTTGACACGAGAGCTGGTAACCTTGACAACAGCCCCTGGTCAGTCATTGTTTGCTTTTTTTTTTTTTTTTTTTTTTTTTTAAGAAGAAAATTGTCCTCAGCTATTTTTAATTCTTCCTTCTAAGATCTAATATAGTTGTTGCAGCTCTAGGCAGGAATGGACTCCCAGATGATTTTTTTTTTTTTTTTTTTTTTTTTTTTTTTCCCCCTTTAAACTGAGCTAACCACCAGGGAATGCAATTGCCGCTTCTCCTCTCGGGCTAGAGCCGTGTTTGCTGCCGTTGTTCGGTGACAGTTCGGTGTCAGTGATGTCTCCTGGTGGCATCTGTTTGACAACAGTGCGTGTTTGGGTGGGAGATGAGGAGTGAGACTCAAGCCCCTCTTGCTTCACTAGCATGCAGCTGCCCCAGTCATGACCAAAGGACTGAAAGGAGCATCTTAGCAACTATGGGTTTTTTTTTCTGAAAAAGGTTGTTTCTGTGGTTTGGTTTGGTTTTGTTTTTTTTTTCCTCAGTGGGGAGAACCTGCAGCCCTGTGCCGGGGGGGGCAGGCGCAGGGTAACGCAGACCTTGGCTGTTTGTACCGTGGGTCACGCCGAGCGTTAGCTAAACCCTGACCGCTGTGGTATGGTGGCAGCTGGCTCGGGCACACACGGAGCTGGGGGGGTGTGATCTCCATCAGTTATCTGTGCAGAGGGGAGCTCGTGCCCCTCCCCAGCAATTGTAACGGTGCCTGCGCTTAAAATCCACAAAGTGACGTGATCAACAGCTCCTGAAATCTCTGAGCTACAAGCAGGCAGCAATTCTGTGGCGGTCCAGAGCCAAACAGTGAGAAAAACCTTTGGGGTGCACAAACCAGCGTGCAGAAGGATGGAAGTGCCTGTTTGCAGGCAGGAGGCGTGTGCCCTGTCCCCCAGCCCCCGGGCAGGGAGCTCCCCGGGGCCGGGGGGGGGGGTCCAGGGGCGGGAGGGTTGGGGTGCTGGGGGGCTGCAGGCGACGTGGCCCGCTCTGAAGTCAGCGCCGGGCTGAAGCCCACCGAACCTCCTCCCGGCTATTATTAGCGTTTGACTTGGGGATCAGCTTTCAGGAGAGGGCTCGGCTGGGGAGAGGGTACGGTTGCTGGAGGCGGTGAGTTTTTCTCCGCGGCGTTACCCCCCGCTCGGTTCGTTCTCGCCGCGTCGTCAAGTTAGGTGAGCGGTTTCCTCGGTGGCCGGGGGTGGCCGGGCTGTGCGGGTGGCGCGTGCCGCGTGGGTGCTCCCCTGCCATAGCAAAGGATGTGCCCTGCAGTGCTCCCGGTTTCCCGTTTCCCTTGCTCTCCACTGTCAGCTTCCCTAACTCTTTCCTGTTTTTTTTCCTTCATTTCGCAGTCCAAATAAAAGACTCTCAAGCAAGAAGGTGGCAAGGTAAGCTCATACTCCAATTACTGCTTTTGGTGAGAGGGGTGTCCGTGCTGGCTGCCAGGCCCGCAGAAGGAAGGCTGTCAAAATAAGTTTGCAGTGTCGTACTTCTGGACGTGTTGCATATAGCGCTGGGGAAAAGCACATTTAATTCTGATAGAGTTGGCGATAGCTGTTTTTTTCTGAAATGATGGGGGGGTTTGCTCACTCGTGCAGCTGGAGGCTGGTGTCAACCTGATGACTTCCAAGACGAAAGTAGGGGTGCCTTCTCCCTAGCGGGGGGCATGTGGGGTGCAGAAGGAAGCTCCAAAAGGGCATGTCCCTCTGGACTGTCTCCTCCCCAGTGTCACCGTGGTGGGTCTCTAGACCGGACCAGTCAGTACACCCACTCGGAGGGATTTCTCCAGCACCCACCAAAGCCAGCCACCTTAGACAGCTCTCTTGTTTCCGTTTTACTTTGCTCAGAGTAATTCTCAGCACTTGACTTCGCAGGAGCAGCCCTCCCTGCTCAGTCTGGGGTTTTGGGGGAGTTCCTGGGGGGCGGCTGCAGGTGACCCCCACCCTGGGGCTTAACTCTGTGCTGCTTCTGTCCTGTGGGACCATCGCGTGTGATGCCAGTCGCCCTTTCCTTGTGGGCATTTTTATTCCTGACCGCACAGGAAAAGCTGCAGAGTTTGCTCTGAATCGTTGGGGTGGAGGGTTCATCCCCTCTCCATGACACCTGGTGCTCACCTTCCTTTTCCCAGCTTCATCATCACTCCTGATCCTGTGTCGTCACGCTTTTAAGAATATACTGAGGTTTACCTTACCTGTCCTGCCTGCTTCTGCCCTGCTCGGGAGGGAGATTGCCCTCTGCAGTTGTTGGTTTTCTCTTTGCATGCTTCCGAGTGGGGCCGGGATGCTGCAGAGGAATAGGCAGCTCTATTTGGGTGACGCTCGTACCCCTGTGCCCTGGCGCACGGTCTGCTCCCTGTGCTGACCCGAGCAGCTTCTGTATGCCTCTCCCTCCCAGCTGTGCTCTCACACCTTTCCCTTCTCTATTTGTCCTGCAGTCAGCAAGTCTCCCCTGGCACAATTTCCCCTCCTGGCAAGGAAGCAGGTCCTTGATATTACATTTCCTAGTTCCGGTCATCTTACTTTCTAGATCTTTGTTAAAAACACTGGCAGGAAAGAAGGTTGAAGGGAGCAGCCTGTTCCCCAGGTTTCCTGTTTTAGGACCAGTTTTTATCCCGTATCTGGCAGAGCAAATTTAGGGGGGATTTGAGATAAACTTTTGAGGATTGAGATGCCCTGTCTTATGGGGGATCGCAACCTCCTGGCCCTCTGCATTTGCAAGATGCTTTTCTGAGGCTGGGACTTGTGGGCTTAGGTAAATACTGGTTAATACAAGAGCAGTTGAGTTTTGCTTGTGATAACAAGAGCGATAACAGGGTTTTGCTGCAGAGTGGAGCCAGATCCTTAAGATCAGCCCAAAGAAAGCCCTCTGCAGATACTGTAATTACAGAACAATACCAAAACATTTGCTTTTAGGAAATTGATTTTATTTTGGTAAGGGCCCTTTCCTGATTTTTGCTATTCGGGTTCTGCTTGTGCCAAGAAATCTCAGCTGCTTAGGCCCTGTTGTGCTTGGCATGATTTAAATGACAAATGCGCCCAAGATTTCAGAATCTAAATATACTCAGGGTGAGGATGCAAAATAAGGCTGGGACTCAGCTGTGGTCTCTTCGGTAAGTGCCAGTTATGCTTCACGAGTATTGGCATGAGCATATTGTGTAACAGGGTGAATTTGAGAACCCACATTACAAACACCTAGGAAGAACTGAGGCTCAAAGAGACCTCCGTGGTTTTCTTGCTCACCTCCCGCTCAAAGCAGCGCTGGCTTCAAAGGTGGATCGGGCTGCTCGTCGTTCGTGTCGCAGTGGGAGAGCAGGGTGGTTTTCTCCAGGCAGCACCTGCCCTGGGGTTCACGGAGCTGGAACACAACCACCCCTCCCAGTGGCAGTAGTGGCTTCTTGTGCCACAAGATGACGGGAGCTGATCTGCAGCGATACCATGAGGATTAAGCACGGACGAGCCCCTCCACGGGGCGTCCTTTAGCTCACCGCAAAGCTGTGGACGCCAGTGTCACAAGGCCTTGCTAATGATTAGCTTGCTCTCAGCTGTGGGGAGGTGGGCTGGGGTGTTTCACAAAAGGTTTGGGGTTTTTTTTTTTTCCTCCCCTCCCTCCCCTTGCACCCGCTGCACCCCCCCCCCAGCTCCTTATTAACCTTATCAGTGACTAGAGTGGAGTACTCTGTCCTTTGCTGGGTAATACGCGGCTCTGGTATGTCGTAAAGAAAGTGAAAAGAGTGAGCTCTTATCTCTCCCCATTCCAAAGAGCAAATGATCGCGGTATGAAGTCCCAGCAGACCTGCCCTGTCACCGGGGCGCACCGAGGCGGCGAGCTTCGCTGCCCGCTGGAGCTGGTGGTGCCGAGAAGGGCCTGGCCCACGCCGTCCTTTGCTGTAAATCCCGCAGCCGGCGAAGGAGCAGCGCTGTTAAATCCCCTTGGGAAAAGGAGGTGGCAGCTGAGGAGCGGGGAGAAGGGGACCCATATCCTGCAAGGGTGGCTGTGCCGCCTGAAATCGCCATGTCCTGCGATGCTCGCTCTGATGTTCGTGTTGCTGTGGGTTGGGGCGGTTTGTCTCTGTTGTAGGCAGTTGCATCAGACGAGCGCGCTGTCCGTGGGGGCGATGGAGGAGTCCTACCGGGATACGCTGGAGTGTACAGAGGAGGACATCACGGACAAGGTAAGGGCGGTGCTGCCTACGCTGTCCTGGAGCCCGCGGTGGCTTGCAGCGCTCCGAGACCCCCCAGGGCAGGAGTTAGGCTGAAGCTTCCCTCGCCACGCAGCTGGCCCTGGCTACCTGGGCGCCCCTGGGACGGGCAAAGCCCTCGGCACCGAGGGGATGGCCGTGAGAGCGCTCCCGGTCGCCTTGCAGAGCTGCTCCGGCGAGTCGGGAGGTGGCACTGGTGCCTCCTCCTGGGTGCTGCCCCGCTTGCAGCTGGGGTGGCTTCCCCCCCCCCCCCCCAGCTCGCCCTTCGCGGGCCGTTTTCGCTTCTGCTTCTTGCAATAAGATGTTCTCAAATTCTGCTTTTGAGATGAGCAAAGCCGCCCAGTCCAAAACAAGGACTTCCTTCCCTTGGCACGCTCTTGCTGCCGGTGCCGTCAGGATATAAAGCTAATTTTGTGCTCGTCCTGTTGGGTTTTACTGGGGTTTTACGAGAAAAGGATTGTAGGACAAGATGGGAGCTGGGCAGGAGCACAAGAACGCTTTTATTTGAGTGCCCTTAGCTAAATATAGCTGAGGGAAAGAAGGAAAGTTAAAGATAGGCGAGTTGTGGCTTGTGTAAATGTCTGCAGTCCTGAAACTCCTTGAAAATAGCTTTTTAATTCTGGAATCATGAATAGAGCGCTGCATGGAGCAGCATGTGAAAGAGAAATACATATATGTGTGGCTGCGCTCAGATATAATCATAATGCATAGAAGACCTTTAAAAAAAAAATCAAAAATCAACATTTTTCCAAGTCTGAAAGTTGAATAAAACACTCGTGTTCTTTAAGGCATCTGGCTTGGGAAACCATGTATGTACTTCTGGAAAAGGCCTTGTGCCTCTGCATGTTTCTTTTTTTCATACAATTGCATGTCACTTGCCCTTCTCCCCAGAGCGATGGTTCAGGTTTTGCAGACGTGCTCCTAACTGCCTCTCGTTCATGATTGTTCTTTTATGGATGTAAATGGGAATTTTGGGACCAGGAACTCTGTCCTTCTTCAGTTCCCCACCCACCCACACTCATGCTTGGGTGGGAAGTAGAGGGGCACTCCTGGCCCCCTTTGCTGTTCAAAGTTGTGCGCTATGTAGGGAAAGTGAATGAAAATGCAGATTCAGCTGAAATAATAGTCCCCATATTAAGTACAGGGAGAAAATGCTCATCTCTGATCCTTTCCTACCAGCTAGCATTGTTTCCTCCTATGTGACTGTGAACCCGGGGTCTTTTTGTCCTGTTTCGGGCAGCGGGTGGTTATCCCCAGCCTCAGGGCTTAACCTGGAGGCAGGGGAGCTCTGGTGATAGAGCTGGGGTCTTCCCCTCTAGCCCTCCATGCAGGGTGTCTTCACGAAGGAAAGGAGGGAGTGAAGCGTTTGGCCCCGATTTGGTATATGGGAGAGATCAAAGCCAGGGTGTAAAAGGATTATTTTTTTTTTTTAAAAGGATGCTTTAAAGGCAGTCGTGGCCACCCGGTTCCTGTGGCACCCATCCGTTTTTAAGCAGCTTGCCCAGGAGCCAGCCCCAGCTCCTGCGGTCGTGGGGGTTGCTCCGGCGCTCGGCGCCCCTTTGCCAGCGGGTTTGGGCACAGGTGGCTGATCCCCCCCCCCACACCCACTCCTCTCCCATCACACAGGTGGTCTTCCTGGAGAAGCGGGTGACAGAGCTGGAGAAGGACACGGCTGCTAACGGCGAGCAGCACAGCCGCCTCAAGCAGGAAAACCTGCAGCTCGTGCACAGGTACGGTGCCGTGGCCAAAACGCAGCTTCCCGCCGCCTGCGGGGCCTTTCCTTTTCCCCACCCGTGTACTGCAGCACCCCGTGCCTTCCCCGCGTGCAGGCAGGAGCTGCAGGGGAGGAGGGAGGCGGACAGAAAATAGCAGGAAAGCTTCACAGCTCTGCCCTTGGCAATCCGATCCCGCGCTGGCAGAGGGCAGCCGCGGTTAAATCCAGCCGGGGCTCGGGCTGCCTTCTCCACTCCAGGCCCGTGTGCGGGGCTGCGCCATCCTACACCCGCTTTTCTGGGTCTCTGACAAGTTCTCAGGAGCCCGGCAAACAGCTTGCAGCTCAGCCGGGACAAATGGCAAACATTTCCTTTGCAACGTTCTGCTCAGATGCATGTAACTGTAACAGTGCTTTTTTAGATCTTTGGGGGTTTGGTGTCTTTTTTTTTACGCTCTTCCCTGCCCCACGTGTCCCCCCTGAAAGGTCTCTGCAGCTCCAGGGGTTGGCTCAGAGGACTGCAGTGGGGCCATGCTTCTTGGAAAACTTCCCACTCAGGGCGGATATATACTTCATACTGTCTCTGTATGGACTCTTTCTGGCCCTTATTTCACCCTGGGTCTGGGTGGAAGGTACAGCAGGGTCCCTGCTGCCCATCTCGACCCTTCCCGCAGCTAACCTTGATCCTGTTGCTTTTGGATCCTGGCGGGGGTGTAGTCCTTCGGATCCCATTTGATGTGATGCTGTCTTTACTAATCTGGCAGGCTTCCCTCTTCCAACAGTGTATTTACCCTTGGCAGATAAACCCAGCAGGAGTTTATCTATAGGGCTGTAAGACTGTTAAGTAACAATCGTGTCGGGGAACAGAGCGATTCAAACAAAGGTTTCTCTAAGCCCTGATAAACTTTGCAGCGAGGGAAATGTTTTCACTTCAGCGGCTTGGCCCAGAAGCGTCAGTTGGCTTTTAATCAAGTAAAGCCCCAAGTGTACTCCTGGCTGGTTGAGGAAGAGGTCGATGGGGCAAAAGCCTTCCCCCACCTGCCCGTGCAAAGCGACTGCATAAATTCCAGCCCACCAGCCCCCTGGCAGCCCTCAGCCCGCTGCTGGGGGCTGCCTCTGCCCGCTCGGGCGGGCGGGTGGGCGTGCTGCAAATGCTTCTGCTCCTCTCTGAGCAAACACGGCCGCTGCCTGCACTGCCGCAGTCTCAGGACCGCGTGGGAATTGCTGTTACCCAGGCACACACACAAGGTTGACCTGCGGATCCCGTGTTTTCGGTTGAGGACTGTGAAAGTGTGAAAAGGTGGAGAACTGGGGCCGTTGTCGCCTTTTCTCTGGGTAATGAGGCTACGTCAGAGCAAAGCAAATGGGCCCAAAATGCTAGAAACGGCTGAAGGAGGATTTCGCTACCATGGCCTCTACAGGTGAAACCACAATCCTGGGATTTATGGTTGGATTCGCTGATCTTAAAGGTCTTTTCCAACCTCAATGATTCTATGAGATTCCGCTTAAGTAGCTTGTTCTGTGACCCGCAGGCTCTTGGATATAAAATGATTACTGTGCTTTCAGCCTTACCTCACCCCCTTGTTGGCCTTCCCCTTAAAAAAGGTTTTGATGCAGCTTGGAGGCTTAAAAAACCAAACAGAGACAACACCAGCATGTACCACCTGGCTTATTTTGTTGGACTGTTATGTTGGTCAGCAGTAGCATCCTTGGGGGTTTCATGGACCGTGTTGCTTTCCCACTGCTGGGATGAAGTGAACCCCTCACACACCTGCTGCTTGAGATGAAGATAGGTGTACCTTCCCTCAAAGGTCACCCTGTTTTACAGCCTGCTTCTCCCAGCTCTGCTGTGCGGTGGGAGAAGGGCCGGGGAGAGAGTCTGATCCCTCCCTTGGGATGGCAGCATGCCGGGGCTGAGCCATCAGGAACGGTTAATCCTCCCTCTCTCCTCTCTGCAGAGCAAATGCTCTCGAGGAACAGCTGAAGGAGCAGGAGCTGAGAGCTGACCAAACACTCCTGGAGGAGATCAAGAAGCAGAGGGAGCTGCTGAGCAAAATGGAGAGGGAGAAGAGCATCGAGATTGAGAACCTGCAGGCCAGGTGGGGCTGGGGCAGGGCTGGGTGGTTGCAGGGCTTGCTGGAAAACGTGTACGGGCTGCTGCTTTGGAACTGCAGCGTTTGGGGAGACAAAGTGCAGCAGGCAGTGAGTTTAGCTTGGTTAAAAGTGTAACTAAAGTCATTATAAGCCCTGAGTTTTGGCTGGTTTTCCTACCATCGTTCCAAAATCAAGCCCCTCTGTGAACCTAGTCCCGGAATCTTTATTTGAGTTTCCCTGATGCGGTTTGGATTTAGCTCACGTTCTCTGTCCGTGCGCCTGCCCCACGGTGTGTGAATGAAGAGGTGGATGAATGGGAGGTGTGTGAATGAGGTCCGTGAATGACCCATGGAAGTACGTTTGATGCTCAGATGTTTTCCACCTTCCTGGAAACAGCAAATATCTGGGAAGGAAGAGTTGTCCGACAGGCAGTGTGCCGGACAGCGTGCTTCATGCTGCCTGTTGGCTTTCGAAGGGGAAAGGGGTGTGAGAGAAGTTTCATTTATTTGACAGGATTTTTGCTACTTTTCCAGAACGTGTTTTGCTATTGTTCAACCCTTGCAGTAAATGAAAGATGAAGGCAGTGAGGTGTTTTACCAGGCTTTCATAGTAGGACAGCTACCACGACAAATGGATGGTACTCTGCCTGGAGAAGGCCAAGCTGAAGCCCTCTCTGAACCTCCGCCCAGGCGATGTGTCTGCTTTTTGGTGCCTAGTGCTGAGGCTTGCTCCATGGGCTGATGATATAAAATAGCCTAGTGCTGAGGCTTGCTCCGTGGCCCAAAAAATAGCATTGGACCTGGTTGAGAAGGTCGTGGACAGCAGGCTTGCCAGAAGTCATGTGGGTGCCCCACTTTTTCCCCTGGGAGTAGAAGTAGTGGGAGCCTCAGGGTTTGCTTTGAAAAGATAAATCCCTGCTGGCTTGCCTTCAGCGGGTCCTAGTTTAATATTCCTAGTGATGTTTCAACCAAGTCTCCTACACTTGGGATGCTTGGGTGAGTTTCTTACACATCTCTTTACCGTTGCAGGCTGCAGCAACTGGATGATGAGAACGGCGAGCTGAGATCCTGCGTCCCGTGTTTAAAAGCTAACATTGAAAGACTCGAGGAGGTGAGGGACCGTCTGTGCCCGAGCCAGAGCTGTGTTTCTGGGTTCTGGGCCGAAATTCTCATTTACACGAGGGGCCTATGGGAGATCCGTTTAATGGAACAAGGAAATCAGCTGCTGCCTTCCAGTCCCTGCAGACCTCGCCTCGGACCAGAGCTATCCCCTACCGCTGTCCGTGCAGGTTCCCGGTGTTTGCCTGGGAATCAGGGATTAACAAACCCGTAATAAATCCCTCCGTGAGCGTGCAGCCTGGGCGAAGGCAGAGCGTGCAGCGGTGGCAGCCCTGTCCTGGCTGGTTAGGAGGGGACTCGTGCCCTCTTGTGGAAGCTTGTCCCCATCCCTGCGGCCGCAGCCTGCAGCGGGACAGTCGGCTGCAGGGGAGGAAGAGGAGTAGGCATGCTTCATCTCCTGCCCGGGGCAGATAACGCCCTCGCTGGGATTTGTGAATTGAGGCTTCAAAGCGCCGTGTTATCTCCCAGATCCTCTCGCCCTGCTCAGGATTTGAGGCTGACAGGGCCCAGGGAGGCTTCCCGAGGCGCCGCGGCCTCCATGGGACGGACAGAATCCTCATTTTTTCGGAGAGGATGTGGGTGACAGATGTAAAATCTGGCACAAAGGCTGCGTTTTGTTTCTGTTCACGTTTGTGGCAGATACTAAATTAAAATGTAAGTGAAATCAGACCTCTCTGCCCAGCTGAAGGCCTTCAAGCATTTCATCCACTCAGAGTCTTGGAGCCTGCGGGAGAGCGCGGCAGCTCCATCTCTACCTGACGTGGCCACGATGAAGTGGTCTTTGTCTGCCAAGACCTTGTAAGCACAGTGCATTGAGGCCGAGGGTAGGGAAACCGCTGTGGGTCGGAGGATAAATTCCCTGCCTAGGTGTGTTTCAGCCACGCAAAGCTGGTTTTCATCCTTAATCTCTCTGTAGAGCAGTGTTGCTTTTCTCCGCAGTTAATGGGATTAATGAGGAGTGAAAGGTGCAGCTGCTGCCCCTCTCTGCCGAGGAGAGAGGCCCTGCTGATGAGCTGCTCTCCTGTCCGTTGTCCGAAATCAGGATTTTGTTGTCAGCGTAAGCGTTCCCTGCTGGCGTGGTGCTTTTGGTGCTCTGCTCCACGGAGCGGGGCACCCAGACTCAGCAGCTGGAGCTGCTCCTCACCACTTCGTGGCACGGGCCACCCGGCACCAGCGTTGGCTGGGGTCTTGTGGCATTTTTGGCTTTTTGAAAGCCAAAACCTTCCTTGCAGGGAGAGCCAGGCTGGAAGCTGTGAGCCTGAGGAGGGGGTGCATTGGTCATAGGCAGAAGGGTCCTGCGCAGGGCTGTTGTCATCACCGTGACAAGCTTTACCTGACCTCTCAAAAATTCAGTCAGGGCTTTGAGTTACAAGAAGGGGACGGAGCGGGAGAGCTGGGCTGTATGTTTTACATCCTGGCTTGAACTGATCAAGTTCCTTCTTGGGTCAGTCCTCAATTAAATTCTTTCATATCTGAAAGTGAGAGTGAGCATTCCTAGAATGGCTTAAGATCTTGGGTTCCTGGCTTTTTCTGAAATTCAGACCTAAGGAGCCTTTTCATTTAATGTCTCTCCCTGGCCTGTAGCCTCTGTGCTGGCCCCAGTCCCACCCAAGCCACGTCCCACGCCAGCGTCGCGCTGCCCAGAAAGCCACACAAGTGCAGATATTTGCCTGTGTGCATTTATTCTTAAGTCATCTCCTACTGCCTTTCTCTTAGCAGTGCTATTTTGGTGCGTGGTTCTTCTCGCTGCTGCCAAAGCGCTCGGGCTCTGAAGCCCTCAGACAGCAAATGAAATCCCAGCAGGCAGAGCCCCTGAATGCGTCAGCGAGAAGAGCCTTCCCTGCAGTGCTCAGCGTGCGCCGTGTCCTTGAGCGAGTGGGAAGAGCCCTGGCAGCACTGAATGGAGACGAGCCCTGTGACTGTTGTCTTCCGTGTCATTTCAGGAGAAGCAGAAGCTGCTGGATGAGATCGAAGACCTCACTGTGCAGCTCACAGAGGAGCAGGAGAAAAAGAGGAAGATGGGGGACAAGCTGAGTCAGGAGAGGCACCAGTTTCAGAAGGAGAAAGAGTCGACGCAGGAGGTAAGTAGTCGAGGCTGCCTGCCACAGCCCCATCCTGCTAGTCCCCCAAATTAGGGCTATGTGGGGAAGCTGGCCTTTGCAGCCTCTCAAAAAAATAAGTATAACTGGAGCATTGGGTCCTGCCTGGGCAGAGAAAGGTGGTAGAGCAGCTTAGCTGTATAACATCTATCTCTTTTGCCTGCGTTAAAATTCACCCAAGCGTGTCTGCATCTGTAAACCCAGTGGGGCTGTGCCACCTTGGCCTGTTCTGTGGGGACCGTTTCTCTTCTGCATCGAGGGAGCAGTGGCAGAAGCCCAATGACAATAGCACATGGAGCCAGCAGGCGGGAGGAGAGGGGCGCGAGGCTGCTGGGGTGAGAGCTGCCAGCTCCTGTGCGCCTGGGAGCAGGAACACAGCCCCGCCCCGGCCCCCTCCAGGCATCTGTGGTTGGTAATTCCAGCTGGAGGCTCAAGCAGGGCTTGCCGTGGTGGTAGGAAAAGAGCTTTGGGCCTCAGAGTGGAAGTTACTGTCGTCGTGGTGATGCTGAGAGCACTCGGGCGAGACGGGGATTCGCAGCGCTGTGGCAGTGTGTGGCAGTGCCTGTGTTGCTGGGTGGGGGGGTCTGGCTGCTGCTGCACACCCAAAACCAGCATCTTCGGTGCTCCAGCAAAGTCCTTCCAGGGCTCTTCATGTAGCTCCCCCTCTCCTATTTGCTAGAGGCCCTGGGGGAGGAGGGGGAAGCCACGTGCACCCCCGAAAGGGTCTGCTAATCCCGCCGCAGCAATCAACGGAGTTGCTCCCAGCTCGGGGACAGCCCGTCTGTCACGCCAGCCATGACCAGTGCGAGCTGCTGGGCTTGCAGGGGACGAGGCTCTCAGTCCTCCTCTTCCCTTGTGCTGCAGCTCATTGAGGACCTCAGGAAGCAGCTCGAGCACTTGCAACTCTTCAAACTGGAAGCCGAGCAGCGAAGAGGCAGGAGCAGCAGCATGGGGCTCCAGGAGTACAACAGCAGGACGCGGGAGACCGAGCTGGAGCAAGAGATCAAGCAGCTCAAACAGGTACGTAGGGCTGGGCAGGGAGGGAAGCATCTCGCCTGCTCGGTCTGCAAAAGGGGATTGCTGACTCCTGGCACCCGAGTGGTCAGTGGGGTCTGGGGGCTCCCCCTGAGGAGCTGCCTGTGGATCTGGCAGCCCACTGCTTTCTTGCTCCTCTGTCCCAAGACAGGAGAGGTTGGCTGCTCCTTCTGAAGGACAGCACGTACACTCTAGAGCCCCTCTCTCTGCTGCGTCCCCTGGGTCTCCCCAGCACAGCCCATTTCTAGAGGTTTCCCAGGCTCTGCCGAGACCGAGTCAGGAGGTGTTGCGCTGTTCCCGGCGCTCTGTGAGCTGCTGTGGGGGACAAAAGCCCCGGCCTTCCCCGACCAGATCTGCTCTGAGGGCACCACATGCTTCAGCAGCATCTGGTTTGTCTGTTGTGAACAGGATAACAGGAACCTGAAGGAGCAGAACGATGAACTGAACGGACAGATCATTAACTTGAGCATCCAGGGAGCCAAGAACCTCTTCTCAGCCTCCTTCTCTGAGTCCCTAGCAGCAGAGATCAGCTCGGTCTCCAGAGATGAGGTACGTGCCATGGGGTACTGCTTACTTCAAACTGCATCTTCCCGGGGTGGCTGGTGCATCTCCTTTCCTCTCAGCCACCCAAGAGCCTGAGAGGAGCTGACGTGGCCCAGTCTGTGGTACAACTCCCTCCCAAAACTCACGTGAAAGCTGTCATGAGCAAAGAAATACCCACACCACTATTTGAAGAGCTTGCAGGGCTTACCCTGCCTGCCAGCCCTCCTTCCTGGGAATAGGGGAAGCTGGTCCCTTCCACTTTGCTGATACTGGCAGCTCTGCTTTGCCTGCCCTGTGACAGCCTTCCTCTTCCCGGGACAGACCAGCCCACGCAGGGGGTGTCTCTCTGTAGCTGTCTTAAAAACCCCGGGGAGCTGGGATATCTACCCCAGAGATCTTGGCTTCTCTGGCACATGTTCTCCACGGCTGTACCCCGGACACTGGCGTGCGAGCCCACGTAAGCACCAGAATTCAATCTTTCAGACCCCCAAGAAGTGGGGAAACCCACGTGGTGGATGTTTTGGGGGGCCAGAGGGAGATGCGACGCTCCCAGCTTTCTCAAGGATCCCAGCTGGCTGAGAACTTGAGGAATGACGGGAGCGACCAGAACCAGCAGCTGAGGGCATTTTCCCCGGCCACTTATACATAGCCAGGGTGAAGAAACGGGGAGGGGGGGGGGTGGGAAACCTCTGTGGGTGCACAGAGCCCCGAGAAGCCCTGCTTCTGTCCCCGGGCAGCGGCAGGCGGCCACCGCTCACTCCCTTTCTCCCTCCCCTGCAGCTCATGGAAGCGATTCAAAAGCAAGAGGAGATCAACTTTCGCCTGCAGGATTACATCGACAGGATCATCGTGGCCATCATGGAGACGAACCCCTCCATCCTGGAGGTTAAGTAAGGGCGGCCGAGAGGTGTGGATCTGGTGCTCTGAGAGGATAAAGAGGGACTCAAAACGTCTTTGCTCTTGATGAAGGCACAAGGAAGCATCGCGTGGGTGAATTAGCCAGCGGACCAGGGAAAAAGAAAACCAGCAGCAAGGCTTTGTTGTCTGACTCCGTTATTTTGAAACCCTTCTGGGCTTCGAGGGGCGAAAGGGAACCCGGAGAAGAAACACAGGCAACGGGACAGCTGGAGGAAGCTCCCCGTGAAGCTGGGAACTGTCCCCACAGCGGCGTCAGACCCTCGGGCGCGCGGGGTGCGAACAGGAGCTTGCCACTGCGAGGGCTGGGAGGAGAGGGTTCCTCTGAACCGCGGGATAACGGGATGGAGAAGGAAGCAGCGGCGCTGATGTTCTCCCTCGCTGCCCTGTCCAGCCCAAGTATCTGCTTTGCCAAAGTGTCCCTGACACACTCACTCACTGGGGCAGATCTGGGAAAGAGGGAAACGTGTCCTGGACTTGTAGAGGTTGTTTTTTTTTTTTTGGTTTTTTTTTTGTTGTTTTGGGTTTGGTTTTTTTTTTTTTTAATTAACTTAATGCAAATGTCCTCATTCAGCTGGCGCAGTTAATTCTTGCCCTGCCGCTTCTGCTGGGGAAGGGGTTGCGTGCAGAGAGCAAGCTGGCTCCGCTCTCGCTCGCCGGTGACAGAAAGAGGCAGGGGAGCGGCCGTTTTCAGGAACAGGGCCTCAAGCTCACTTTGTCACCTGCCTCCTTATTTATTTTTGCTGTCCGTGGCTCACTACCCTCCACAGGCCTCGACGTTCACGGCTCCCCTGCCCTCCTCCCCGCTCTTCCGCGGGCTCTGCGGGCGTCTGAGCCGGGCTGGCTCTGGGAGGAGAGGTCCCCTCGGTCCCCGGCTGCAGGCACACGGGTGCTGTCTGTCCAGCCTGCAGGGACCCGGGGAGGCGGGGGGGAAAAGGCTGTGACTCTTCAACTTGCACTGGAGGCTGGTCCTGGCCCCCTCTCCCCGTCCCAGCTTGGCTCTCCTGGCCCGGCGCGGGGACACGCAGCGGCCGGGGAGCGGCAGCGGCCGGGGCTGAGCTCTTTCCACCTCTCCCTCCTGAAGTCCCTGCCTTGGGGACAGTGGCCTGTGCCATTCCCACCCGGAGCAGGGCTCTGCTGGTGATAGCTGCAGTCCTGGGGGGACAGCCTGCTCCGGCCGCCTTTCCCTGTGCTGGGGCAGGGGAGGGAGCAGCCGCTCTCTTTTTTTCTCAGCCCCCGGCATCCTCCGGGGCTGAAACCTCTCTGCCGCTGGGGGAGAGGAGACCAGAGAATACAACAGCAGCTCCCCCGGGAAACAAAAGCCATGTTTACATCAGACAGCGTTTGGCTTGCTGGCACAAGCTGGCCTGGCGTGACCACGGGGAGCGGCCGCTTTACCCGACCCTGCTCCCCTCTGGCTCCCGGGAGCAGCCAGCCAGCGGACTCCCAAGGATCCGGCTTCGTGTCGTACGTCAGGCCCCGCAGAGCGGTTCTTCCCTGCTTGGCAGGTTTTAGAAAGGCCACAGTGGCCTGAAAGCAGAAGCCGCGGCGATCCCTTGCCGGGGTGGGGGGGGGGTCCCCCCCGCTTTTCCCCCAGCCGCTTCCACGCACACGGCGCGTCTCTCTTCCCCACGCTGGCGCGGTGGCGGAGCCCCCAGCTCGCCCTGTGGCGCTGGAGGGGGCCGCTGGCCGGGGCAGGGGGCCGCTGCCGCAGCCTTAGTCCCTGCTGGGGGGGCCGGGGGGCTCATGGGTCCCCGGGGCCATCGGCTGAGTCCCCGGAGCCGCTGCTGCTCTAACCTTCCCCCCCCCCCAAAACACATCTCCGGGTGCTCGACCCCCCCGTGGCCTTGTGCAAGGCGGGGCGGGGGGAACCCCAAAACCTGGGGTGAGGGGGACACCCGGTGCTCCTGCACCCCCTCCCCGCCATCCACTCCCCTCCCTGCCCCGAGTCCGCGGGAAGAAGCCACGTAATGTACATTTCCAGAGAAGCTTTGGGTGTAAATCAGTGTATACTTGGAGAGGGAAAATTTTTCTATCTTGTAGAGTAGGTATTTTTATAGAATGAAGGTTGATCATTTTTTTAATACTTTAAAGAAGAGAGAAATGTATCTGTGTATACACAAAAGCATATATATATATATATATGTATAAATATATAAATATCGGAGATCTGCCTTTCTCGACTTGGGATCATGGATCCCCAGTTCTCAAACAATCGTCTTTTTTCCTGACGCTCACAAAGAGGTACTGTAACTGTAAATAAGCACCGGGAAAAAGTTTTAAGCAAACAAAGCACTGACTTGCACATTCACCATGCTTTAAAGTCCCTATGGAAGAAAAAAAACAAAAAAAAAACCCTGTACTTCCCGAAAATGTTCCTCTTTCCCCACCGCTATGTGAAGGAAGTCCCAGAAAGAGGCAAAACCAGTATTGTCTTAAATGATGTATCAATTCTTGTCAGATTAAAAGCTGTTACTCTTCCTTCCTGGAGCCCTTTTTTCCGCAGGGGCGGCTCCAAGCGTTGGACCCCCCCCCCCCCCAAGAAGCATCCGAGGGCCGGCTCCTCCTTGGGCCTGGGTGGGAATGGAAATGCCGGCGCCCCGGAGCGTTGCCCTGATTTTGGGGGGGGGGGATGAGGAAGGGGGAGGCTGGAGGGGCCAAGGTCAAAGGCAGCCAAAGCCTCTCCGGCTGAGCTGCGCGGGTGGGAACTGGGGGGGGGGGGGGGATTCACACTTCGCTTTCCTGGTGGGGTGTGTGACGGGGGTGAGGGACCTTCAGAGCTGTCCCTGTCCCCCCCCCCAGGGCGTCCTGGGGTTTGGGGAGGCTGAGAGGGGGGTCGGGTTGTGGCTCAGCACTGGCAGGGCCTCCTTTTCTACACCCTGCTGAACCCCTCTGAGCACTCGGCTGCTCCGAACCGCCCTGGAAATCCCTTAAACGCTCTAAACCACCCTGCTAAGCTGCTCCACACCCCTCTAAGCTCCCCTTCACCTCCTCCCAGACCCTGTAAGCCACCCCAAAGGGCTCTAACATGCAAAATATCCTCTCTCAGCTCCTCGCGTGCCTCCGGATGACGCCCGACTTGCTCTGAACTCCTCCGAGCAGCCCTGGAGCGCCCAGAGCTGCCGCAAAGACCTCCGAGTGCTTCTGCGTGCTGGGAAATGCCACTAACGCTCTCTGCCCTCTCTAAAACACCCCGCATTAATTCAAACTGCTCCACGCTCCTCTGAACTGCTCAGAGCAGCACTGAGCTGCTCTAAAACGCCTCTGAGCATCTCTAAGGCACCTCTGTGGCACTCTTAAACTGCTCTACACCCCTCTAAGCAGCTCCAGTGCACACCAAGATTTCTCTAAATGCCTCTAAAAATTCCTTTTAAAATTCCTCTGAAAAACTCAACCTCCCAACGGCTTGAAGCTGCTCGGGAAATCGGGTAAGTAAACAGCTCCGGGGGCATCGGCGTGGTGCTGGGTCGCTTCGAGGAGCTGTAAACCACCTCTGAGCAGCTCGGAGCTCTGGAAGGACAGACCTGGGCAGCACTGAAGCACCTGAATTGCTCAAATAGCTCTCGGGCTCCTCAAACCAGCCCTAAAAGGCACCAAGATGCTAAAACTGCTTGGAGCAGTTCGAAGTAGCTCTTGAAGTCCTTTAAACTCTCCTGAAACTCCTTGAAATAGCTCAAAATGGATCATAAGAACGATCTTGTAGCAGCTCTGAAGCACTCTAAGCCTCCTCTGCGTGGCTGTGAAATGCCTCAAGTGCTCTAACGCCCTTGGAAAGGCCCCTGAAACTCCTCCGGACCTTTCTAATGTACCTCTCAACAGCATGAAAACTTTTCAGTAACGTCCCGAAACTCCCTCAAACAGTTTGAAACCACCCTAAACCCCCTCCGAATAACACCGAGGAGGTGTGAGCAACCCTGAAACAGCTCGATGCTGTTCCAAAGCTGCTCTAAAACTCATCAAAAAATATTTGTAGCTGCTCGGAAGCACTCAGGCTCTTCTGCACGTCCTTCGAAAAGGTCTCTAAATGTCTTGAAACCTCTCCAGCCTCTTCGAAGCTGCTCTGGAAAAGCTCCGAAGATCTCTGCGTCCTTCAGAACAGCTCTGGAGCTGCTCTGAACTGCTCTTCGCAGCACGGCAGAGGCTTGGCACGGCACTAGCGAGCCTCTGAGCAGCTGCAGGCAGCACAGAGTTATTATTATTTGTTATTAAAAAATTAAATGCATTTAAATAAATAGATTTCCAACAGGGCTAGAGATCTGTGGAGCTTTCATAGCTCTAAAGCTCCTCGGGGAGGCTGAGCTGCTTCTGAAACGCTGCGTTAAACACCGCTGAAGAGCTCCAGCTTCATTTCGGGGGATGCTGCGGGCACCGAGCACGACTTGCACCCTGGTTGTGGTGCCAGGGGCTCCGGCCACGGCCTGCGGGGTGCCCGGTGCCTCCCCCCCCGCTGCTCTTGGCCTTGGCGGCAGGAACGCGGTGCTGGGAGCTTACAGCTTTGGGGGGGGGGGGGGGGGGGGGGGAGGGGGGATGTGTGGGGGTGCTGTGCCGGTGCGGGCAGGGCTGCTGTGGGCACCCAGCCGGGCTCCCCGTCCCCCTCCAGCCGCTGGCACCCAGCTCGGTGGGCTTGGAAGGGCCATGGAAGGGCAAAGCCACCGGGCAAGCAGCGCTGCTCTTCCCCACACCACCCCGGATCCAACCCTCGCCCGGCGTGACCCCGAGAAGCCGCAGGGTGGCTGGTGAGCGCCCACCCCCCCACCCCCCCCCCCCCCTTCCCCAGGGAGCCAGCGGGCACCTCCAAACGCCCCCAAAACCTGGCCACGACCCCGGCCATGCCGGCAAGGAGGCCGCAGCGGGGTCGCACCCGGCAGGACCCCGCTGGGCTGGGGACCCCCGGCTGCGCCCCCAGCCCCGGGGCCAAGGCAGGAATGTGCTCCAGCCGCCGGGCGTCGAGTCGCGGCCGGGGCGGCTGGAGGGTGGCGAAGGGGCAGAGCTGGCGCTGCGGGAGGGAGCCCCGTTTGGAAAAGGGATTTCCAGCTCCTTCCCCATCTGCTGCCGTGGGGCTGGGATGGGGTTAACCCTTAGCAGCCGGGGTGGGAGGGGGGGGGATGGGTGATGCCCCCCCCCCCCCCCGCCCCCTGAGCAGCCCTTAGGGTTAAGGGGTGCAGCCCCTCACCCTGGGATGCCGCCTGCATCGCTTCGTGGGACTCGCCGGGGGGCAGGACCACCCGGGCTGCTCCCGGGGAGCGCGGTCCCCTGCAGCTGATCCCCAGGGATGCTCCAGGAGCTCGGGGACAGCCACACCAGGGGACAGCAACACCCCAGCAAACACCTCCCCCCCCCACCTCCCCCCCCCCCATCCAAAAGGAGGCAACGACACGCAGCCCTGCCTGCACCAGCGTGTTTTTTCTCCTCTTGTTCCAAGCTGGAAATCCCGGGGGGAGCAGGGCTTGCGGTGTGCAGCCAGCCCGGGACCCCCCAGTCTGGCCAGGGCCCCCCCAGCCTTCCTGGGACCTCCCCCAGCCACGGTGGGTGGGGGCAGCCCCCCCCCCAGCAAGCAGGAGCAGGGCGGCTGCTGGGTGCACCCCTGGAAAGGGGAGCACCGCGGAGGTGGGGGGGGGGGGGGGGGGCGTAGGCAGGCGAGCCCTGCGTGGGGGCCGTGGGGTCCCCAGCTCCGGCCATCGCTGCAGGACTACGCGGGTGAGGGGTCATCCCCCCCCCCCCCCAAAGTGCCCGCGGTGTCCCCGCAGAGGGGGGGCTGCAGCATCCCAGTACCGTGGGGGCGGCGGAGGCTCGGCCTGGTGGGGAAGGGGGGGGGCCGCAGCGGGCACGGAGCAGCGGGACCCGTGGGATGGGGCCGGCGGAGCCCGTGGGAGGGGGGGGGGGGGGGGGCTGGCGGCGGGGGCGGGGAGCCGAAGGGGGGGGGGGTCCGGCCGGGGCGGGGGCGCAGGCAGCACCTCCCCCCTTCCCTCCCTCCCCTCCCCCCACGGCGGTCCCCTCCTCCTTCCCCTCCCCGCCGAGGGCAGCCGGCGCCGTCCCGTCCCGTCCCGGGGCTCGGCGGGCTGAGCCGCGGCTCCGCTCCGCTCCCCACGGAGCGGGTGTCACGGGTGGGCGGCAGCCACCGACCCCCGCCCCCGGCCCGGCATGGCCCGGCTCTCCGTCAAGGAGCACCTGGACGGGATCCTCTCCGACTTCGAAGGTGCGGAGACCACCCCCCCCCCCCCACCACCACCCGCGGGTGACCCCCCACTCGGGACCGGGTATCGTGGAGGAGGGGGATGCCCCCCTGGAAGCTGAGTATCGGGGTGGGGTGGAGTGGGGGAATGTCATAGGGGCTGGGATGCCCCCCGGGAGCTGAGCATCGTGGGGGGGCTGCGTCCCCCGTCCCGGGAGCTGGGTAGCGTGGGCGGGGGGGTGATGCCCCTCGGGGGGGGGCTGCGCGTCGTGAGGGGCTGCGCATCGGAGACGGGATGCCCCCCCCCCCCTCCACGGACTGGGCATCGGGGGGGGGCTGCGTTGCCCCCGTGCGAGGCTGGGTATCATGGGGGGGGGGGATGGGGGGGATTAAGCATCGTGGGGGGGCTGATCTCCAACCCCCCCCCTTCCCCGTGGGCTTCGCGTGCTGGGGTGCGCCCCGCGGGGCGCGCTCGTTGCGTTGTTCCCGACGGGGCGCACCCTCGGGGGGGAGCGTGGCGGGGTGCGCCCGTGGGGGTGGGGGGGGCGTGGGTGCCCTCGGGGGGAGCATGCGCCCGTGGGGGTGGGCGGGGGAGGGAGGCGGGGGGCTGCACAGCGCTCCAGGGAGGGGGGGGGGTGGGGGTGCGTGTGTGCATTGCACACAAACACACCCCCCCCGTGTTCGCGTGTGTGCACACCCCCGAGTGTGCATGCTCCGACCCGCGGCTGCGCTTCCCCCCCGCCCCCGCCGCCGGGGCGGGTCGGGGGCTAAGGGGATGGCGGGGGGGGGCTGCAGGGATTTGGGGGGGGGGGGGGCGGAAGCCACGTCCCTCCGCGCTCCCCCCCCGGGGCGGGCCCGGCCGCAGGAGGCAGCGGGATGGGTTTGGTTTTCTCCCACCCGTGATTATGCCCCGGCCGCTTCCCGGAGGCCGCGGCGGGAGGGGCCGGGGGCGGGGGTGTGTGTGTGGGGGGGGGGGGTAGGGGGGGGCGGGAGGGGCGGGCGGCGAAACCCGACCCCGGGGCTGCTGCTGCCCTCGCCGGGGAGGAATGTGTGCACCTACCCCGGGCACCTTAACCCCGCCGCTGCCGGGCTGACCCCCAGCTCCTGACACCCCCCTCAAGCCCTGCCATCCCCCCCACCCCCCCCCACCCCCTGCCAACCCCCCTAAACCTCCTGTCACCCCCATTCCCCTCCGCCACCTTCACGCCATCATCCCTCACCACCCCCCTGCCAACCCCCCCCCAAATTGCCCTTCATCCCCCCCCCCAACTGTCTGCTGCCCCCCCCCCCACTCAGCCCATCACTCCAG